CAACAAAATGCCACAGTGATCAGATCGGGCCAGGATCGAGGGGTGGGCACAGGACCAGAGGGGGCAGAGGAAGGAGTGGAGTCCTGGCACCTATCGGCGGTAATGATTGGGGGCGTCCGCAAACATGTACTTGAGTCTGTAGGCCTCTGCGAGCAGGAGTCCGATCTCTTCGTTACCCCAGTGTATCGTGGGCAGGTTTTGTAACAACATGAGAAGGCCCTGCAAGAGGGGAAGGTGCTCAATGTGGGGCTGTTGAAGGCAGGGCACAGCTCCAGAGCTGGCACGACCGGGGGCTCAAGAACCATCGCTCGCCGCGCTCGCGGGTCTGAAAGGCTCAGGGACAGCGTTAAGATGTGCTCGTGGCTGGGAGCGCCTCAGGTGCCCCCAAACCTCTCGAGATAAAGGGCTCTACCACAGCATTACAGACAGCAAACACAGAGGGACTTACCCCAGGGAAGGGCTGGTATTTGATGTGTGAGCATCAGCCCCATTCGCTGTCCTGAGCACTGAGGCTCAGACGTTACTTTTAGGCTAAGACCCTGAGCCTGGATGCTCTTGGAGCCAGCCTTGAGATGATGGTGGACTTGTGTCCAAGTCCAAACCCCAACCGGAGCAATTCCCTCCCCTCCACCCCCAGGGAATGACCCCAAACCCAAGGACGTACCTGGAAATCCTCCTCGTCCAGGATCTCCTTCCGCCACTTGATCAAGAAGGCGGCGCAGACGTAGAGGTGGAAATGGGAGAACCCCTCTGGCTCCGACTGCGGACACCAAAACCCGGGGTCAGCTGCAGCTCCCCCAGACACAACGTCCTAAATGGCTCTAAGTGCCCCAGGGCCACACTTTGTGTCCCCCGTGTCCCCCCCGTGGTACCTGGTAGGTGTCCCACAGGCGGATGGTGCAGCGCAGGGGCAGCTCCCTCATCAGCAGGTTGTTCATCCAGCGAAAGGCAAACTGCAGGTACTCCACCTCGTACTTCCTAAAGTGATTATGTACCTGCTCTGAAACAGCACATTTCACTTACACACCTGGGGACCACAGTGCTGCCCCCCACACGTCGCCTTCCACGCACCCCAGGCTGAGTCCTTGTCCTCCCAAAAACCCCTCCTTGCCCTGTGCTACGTGGCCAGCAAAACCCCATCCCCGGGAGGTTTCTGGCTGAGTCTACCCTGTCCTGCTTCCATGCGTGACTACCCCTGAGGGCTCTGCTTGCAAAGGAGGCCTCTCTCTGCTGTGACAAAGCCTCCAACCCGCTCAGATCGCCCTGTCGCCTACCACGACCGTCACTTACCATCGATCCGGCTGACGAGCTCCTCCAGGGCTTTGACTTTCTTCTGGATGCCCGGCTGTGCAAAGGTGTAGTTATCCTGTGGGGAGAGGCCATGCGTCAGCTCTTAACAACAGCCAGAAATGACCAAAACCACGTCCCCAGCTCCACATGGAGCTGAGATCCCCACGAGCCAAGGAGATGCGGCTCTTGAGCACTGGGATCATCTCCCTGCTGCAAAGTCCCTCACTGGGACACTGTTGATGCCACAGCATCTTCTTTCCTCAGGATTTAACCCTCGGTGAAGGAGCAAAATCTCCTCAGTGAAGGACAAGCAGAGCAGTCCCCAAAAGCAAAGATGGCTGTGAAGGGAGAGAACCCTCCACGGCCCCAAGAGGCTCACCTGAATCCCATCCAGCAGCTTGCTCATGCACCAGAAGCTGTCGGCTTCGATGCTGCGCAGAACGTCCTGCGACAGGTTGGTCACGTCAAAGTTCTCCACGTCCTCCTCTGCAAGACAGGAAAAGGAGCATCAGGAGGATGGGGACACCAGGAAGCTCATGGGGACACACAGAGGGGTTTTATCGATGTGAGTGGCCTGCCTGGCCCGCAGCACAGCACCCATGCACTGATCTACTTCTCTAACCCGGGAACAGGGGTGAAGGACCCCAAAACACTCAGCAACCACGACCCAAACCCAGCACAGATCCCATGGGGACCACGGGAGGGTCCCAGCTCTCACTGCCAGTCAGAATCATCAGCGTCATCCCAGGATTGAAGCTCAACAGAGGCACCCAGAAAGTGTCCGTCAACTCTTGAGGATCCACAAGAAGGAACTCCCAGAGCCTCAGAAACCTCTACAGGAGAGGAGGACACTTGGGGACAGCTGCAAGGACCCAAAAGTGCACAGATACCTTCCTGGAGAGCAAAAAGGCTCCAAATTCAATCCAGGACGGAGCCTGATGGGATCCACACGAACAGAAGCAGCGCCACGCACAGACAAGCCTTGCTGTGGGGCAGCAGGGATTTGGGCAAGGCTGTTTTCCAAACTCAGTGAATTGGGTGTCTCAGAGCACATGGGTTTGTGACAGCTCTGTCCCTAAAGGGTGTCCAGAGTGCAAAAAGCCACCTTCACTTTTAAATGGCCTCATAAACCCTGAGGAAGGGCAGGGGACAGAGCAGAGGCCTCAAGGGTGGTGATGTGGGCTGATTTTGGAGCAGAAATGCCCCTAACCTGGAGGTTTAAGCAGGGGACGGTGGGGAGGTGACAGGCAGGGGACACTGGTCTGGCTCTCGCTTGTCACACTGCTCAATCGGATCAGCAGATGCCAGGGCTAAACTGGGCCATCTGCAATCCCACGGGCTCCAAAATCTTCACCAGCATCTTGGATCTTGCTTGGAAAAGAGCAGGAGAAGAAGAGGATGGGGTTTGGGGCTGGAGCCAGGGCACCCTAAGGCTCAGAGGCACGCAAACGCAGGCTGGCAGTGCTGTGCAACCCAATGCACACAGACTGTGCAAGGATTCGGGTGCAACACGGATTTGGCTGATCCAGAGATCCTGAGGATTAGTGATCCAACACAGAGAGCCTCCAGCACCAGCTCCTCATGGGTCTGACAGCAAAGGCAGCTGTAATGAAGTGCCAAGGCTCCAAACCAGTGACTTAAACCCCGTTGCAAAAGGGGTTGCACACCCCTGAGCACTCCCAGTTCTTTCCCATGAAATTTAAGGCAATTACTGATCTTGTCCTTAAAACTGTGACTGATCTAGACCCAGAGCAGGCAGCCACCAAGGCAGCTTGGCACCTACAGACGAGCTCTGAATCCCAGGCCCTGGGGACAGGAGGGGATTTGTGATGTTGCTTGGCCAAATTCACCTCAACAGGTTGCATGTACAGGTTTGGTTGGGGTTTTTTCCCCCCTCCATTGCAGGATTCAGAAAGAGCTGGAAATGGGAAGGTCACATTTGGAGAGAAAGCTTCGTGTGGAGGAGAAAATAGCACTGGAAGACGGCGAGAAGCACGGCTCTGGTGAGACACAGACAGGGCTGATGCGGCACCAACTCTGCAGCCACGCGCAGAGCTGAGCCCCAACACGGTGCAGGAAGTCACAGCAGCACCCGCAGGCAGCTCTGGTGCTTCAGAGCAGCTCCCTCCTTGCACAACAACTCCATGCGTGCTCAGCTCCACTTCCAACCCAGTAAATCCATCTGAGCAAGCAGCCTCTGCCAACACCAAGTGCCATCGACGCCGCTCAAGCAATAAAGCGCAGGAGAAGACACTCGAAGGGAGCCTGCTCGGACCCAACACGCTCCTCACCTTCCAGAAAAGGGAATTTGGACACATTTTGTGGCTGCTTCTTCAGGCTTTGAGGAGCCATGGCCCTTCCCAGGGATCAACCCCGACCACATTGGCTACCACAGTGGAAATGGAGGTGGTTTAGCTCTTAGAAACATCCTCAGACCTGTACCAGCTTACCCAGCCTTAGCCAGGCAGTGGAAGGTTTCCACTGACTTCAACGAGCTTTGCATCAGGAATTAAAAATATGCGTTGGACGGGGTTTTTCTGTTACTAATACAGTCTTATAAATTCCTTTTCCCTCCTCTTTACAGCGAAAACCAAGAGCCTTCAGGCAGAGGGATTACAGCATCTCAGCATTAACGTCAACTGCAAAACACAGCTAGAGCTGCAGAAAGAACAGAAATGCAACGGGTGGAAATGATTTGATCTCCGGTGAAAAGCAACTGGCTGACAAGAAAGGCAAAAGCAGCAGGGAGAAGAAGTCAATTTGCTTTCTGAAACTCAGCAGCTTGAGAAACACACCTGTACCAGCAGCACGGGACAGGAATCTTGATTTAAATCCTTTATTTTTACATTCCCAGCAGGGACTCTTTATAATTCGCTCACTCCTCCAAGAGCTCCTGAGTCCAAGCTTTGAAAGCAAGACTCTCCCTTCCTCCAAGTCTGCCTATCAGGGCTGTGCCTCAATTGCCCATGCCTGAAAGACCCTTTTCTCCCCCAACCTGTAAGGATGTTAAGTATATTCGAATGCAAATCCACCCTTAGCACTTCAACTCAGTGAGGTTATGAAACTGAAGTCAACCCAACCAGGCAGCAATAAGAGGTCAAGATGCATCCCCAGGCTGGAGGAGCACATCACCCCCTCCAGCCAGGCGAGCTTTTCTGTTGCCAGCACTTCACACCATTTCAAATACCTCGGTCAAGAGGCAGGACCCTGCTCCAAGCAGCAAAATGTCACTTACCAACGTACTCAGAGAGGAACACAACAAAAAACGGGGTGACCAGGTCATTGATGCCCTGTACATAGCCGCTGGCTGGGTGGCGGATGGCCCAGATAAACAGGATTCTTTCAAAGATCTAGGGAAGAAGGAGGGAAAGCAGGAACCTGCGTTAGCCGTGCGCAGAGGAAAGGCAGAAAAGCGTAACTGCTAAGCTGAGGGAGCAGAGACCATGCGCCGACAGGCTTTTCTGCAGCCATAGGTAAGGTAAGACCACATCTGGAATATTGCGTCCAGTTCTGGGCCCCTCAGTTCAAGAAGGACAGGAACTGCTGGAGAGAGTCCAGCGTAGGGCTACAAAGATGATGGAGGGAGTGGAGCATCTCCCTTCTGAGGAGCGGCTGAGGGAGCTGGGGCTCTTTAGTTTGCAGAAGAGGAGACTGAGGGGAGACCTCATTCATGTTTCTAAATATTTAAAGGGTGAGTGTCACGAGGATGGAGCCAGGCTCTTCTCGGTGACAAACAATGATAGGACAAGGGGTAACGGACACAAACTGGAACACAAGAGGTTCCACTTCAATGTGAGAAGAAACTTCTTCTCAGTGAGGGTGACAGAGCCCTGGCCCAGGCTGTCCAGAGAGGTTGTGGAGTCTCCTTCTCTGCAGACATTCAAAACCCGCCTGGACGCCTTCCTGTGCAACCTCATCTGGGTGTTCCTGCTCCGGCAGGGGGATTGGACTGGATGAGCTTTGGAGGTCCCTTCCAATCCCTAACGGTCTGGGATTCTGTGAAGGTAAGAGGCATAGGAGAGACTCCTGGATGATCCCCAGATCCCCACACAACGCAGCAGCCCAGGCTCTGCATCAAAGCCTCTCCACTTGAAGAGATGCAGACCCAACTTTTCAATATCAAGGGGTTTAAAACCCTTCTACCCACAGGACAGGGCTGCCTGTGAGCAGCACAGCATGGCTTGCTCAAGGTCCGTGGAAAGCTAAGGCTGTTATGGGCACAGCACTCCCACCAGACATTGCAGATTGGGATAACTCCCAACAAATCTGCCTCCCCACAGCCACCACCATGTTATTTCCAGACTGCCCCAGCCCCAGGACGCCCTTCTGCCACACCACATACACACACAGCCTGTTTCAAAGAGAACAGATGCTCACACCTCCTCAAACCCATCCCTGCCTGGGTTTCTCTCACGCTGCTTCGCACAGAAGAGGTTTCATAGCAAACCACAACTGATCTCTTCTGGTTCAAACATCTTGAATTTGTCTCAAAACAAAAAGCTTTTATCATCAACTCTTGGCTACATCTCTCCACAGAAGAGCTGATTTCATAACCCCTAAGCCTGATGCCTTTCAGAAACATGGGACAAGACCAGGCAGTTCCAGCAGGAGCTGTCACAGCCAGGGAGGTTTCCAGGCAAAGCCAAGTTGAGACTGGCAGCGCTGGTCTAACTCCACACACACTGGAGCTCCACTCCCCCTTACCTCCTGGACGAGCGGCTGCTGGAAGAGGGGGATGAGCGGGTTGGTCCTTGGAATGTCAATGTGGATCTGGAAAAGACCAAGGGTTACATGCACCAGTTATTAAATCAATTTAGGGAAGGCTTATGCTAATACCCAGAAGAAGACAAAGGGAAACATCATGCCCTGTCCCCAAGGAGAAAGCTCCTAATAGTTATAGCTTGAGGAAGTCCTAGTGTGATCCCAACTGCAAGAGGGATACACCAAGGCAGAACAGGCAGCAGGCAGAGGGCTCGTACCTGTCTGTAGGTGTCTTGATGGTGTTCCTCATTCCGGGAATCATAATACTGCTGGATGAAGCCGAAGTACTCCTCCCGCTTACGCTGCAAAGTCAGCTTTCGCCGCTCCATGTTTGCGGGGAGATAACCCTGCGGCAGGAAAACCCGTGTCAGGGCAGATCCTCTTTCCTCATCACAAACCATCCCTTGAAATCCTGCCAGGCAGCTCGTGCATCTGGGAGCTCAGGCACGGGGACTGGGGAAAGACTTTTCATGAGGTTTGGCTTTCCCAGCCTCTGTTGTCTTTTCTGATCTTGGGGAAATCCAGCTTCAGGGGATTCAGTTTCCCAAAAAAAGAGCAAACCACATATTCCCAGCACCGGTCTGGGCTTTGTGCTCAAAGAGGATGTAGCAATTACACACCCCGAGCAAATAAACCCCAACCTACAGCTCACCTGTGGGCTGGGCACAGATACAACATGAGCAAACCTGGTTATGGGACACACGAAGGTCTAGGAGAGCACATCCCCGGCTCAGCACCTTCCCCCCAAGCTCCTGTGTCACAGCTCCAAGTACTCACTGAGAGGAGACGCCACGTCACGGGCCGGACCTCTCTGGGCACACCAGGCCAGCTGCATTTCCTCAGCTCATCTGCAAACGGACAGTGGTGGCAATGGATTAGATCCTAGGCACGTCCAGGCACCACCACACCTAGAAGGAGAGGAAAGCCCAGTCTGCTCCTGCAGGCTCTGCAGACACTGAGCCTCCAGGAAGGCTCCACATTAGCAGTGACTGGGGATGCGCAGCAAGGGGAGCAGAGACGTTTTCAGCTCAGCTGCAGGAGCACTGGTGGCCGCAGGGGCTCCAATCCTCCACAGCCTCAGTCCTCAGGAAGAGCCCAACAGCCTCCAGTGATCACCACCACCAGAGAAAGACTGGAAACACACAGGCAGCTGGTGGAGGAGAGAACCATCTGCCAACAGAGCTGTCTGTGTAACTACCCCACTTGCAGGCAGTCATTTTATCCACCCTGGAGTAGACTGATTGCAACCTGAAGCAGGTAGCAGGACCCCCTCTGCCTTCCCCTTCCCACCCGCAGGCACCCCCTTTTTGCCCCACTCACCCAGGTCCGTGTTGTGGCTGGAAAGGAGCTGCCGAAACTTCTCCAGGCGGGTTTTCTCCCTCACCGTCATGGGGGGAGCACCCGAAGCATTTTGGTCAGAGATTCGGGCGACAAGTGGAATGACGGGTCGAAGGGGAAGGGACTGCTGCTTCTGGAGGGGGGTCCGCACACAGGTCTCCTCTGCAAGGAGATGCTGCAGTGAGGCAGGGAAGGAGACCGCACCTCCCCAGCCCTACCTGCCTCCTCTGGGCATTGTCAGACAGCTGACACTGCAGATTTCATTCTTCTCTTCCCAGGCCATAGCAAACAGAGCATCGCTGGCCCATTATGAGGGATCAGACGGTTCACAGGCAGCTGTCATGGCTTTTCCATCGCTTCCTCCTGTTTCTCCTTCCCTTTTTTGCCCCCACATCCAGACACCTGCTTGCCAGAGGCTCAGACCTCTCCCTTCACACGGGAAGCCCATGAAAATCCCAGAGGAAGTGACTTTCAGATCTGCCCTGCTCTGCTCTAAATCGTGATCAAGCTAATTGCTAGCACAGAGAGCAGACGATGGGCTGCCAATGCCACCTGCTGGGTTACTTTCACAGCACAGCCTGTGACAAGGCACAGCAAGCAGGGGCTGATGCTGTCAAGTTCCCTGCCCAAGCTGTACCCAGCCTCACCCAGAACTTTACTGAGAGCAATCCTGAGCAAGAATATATCTCCAAAACCCCTCAGCACCCAGAACACAGGATCCTCTGGGGCAGCTGTGCCTGCATGCAGGACACTGAGCAGTAGAGGACTCCAAAAATAGGTACTACAAGGAGGCAAAAGGCTCTGTTGGGCTTACAGCCTACAGACTCTTGCCCATAACATGCGAGTAGCAGCAAGCAGCTGAGTTCAGCAGTCAGAAGAGCAGGAGGCTGCTCCTGAGGATGGCCCTTACCAGATGTCCTGGAGAGCTGGGCCTCACTGCTGGACTTGATGACCTTGCAGTTGGTGGGCATGTCGCTGAGGGCGGACTGGGCCCGCTCGGGTTTTGCTCGCAGCTTGCTGTGGTTCTCCAGAACCTGGGCTGCCGTGGCCTTGGCCACTTTAGAGTTCAGAGTTTGCAAAGAAGAGGAGGAGGAAGAGAAGTCTTCATCTTCGTCATCACCAATGTCCCAGGCGTCACTGGTGTTGCGGGCAAACTCATGAAAGCTGGAGGCCTTCTTGTTTTTCAGAGGCAGCGCGTTGGCCTTGGAGCGGTCCTTGATGAAGCTGGAAGCCAGAGAGAAACAGCATCAGAGCAATGCTGTCAGACGAGTCCATTCTCTTTCCTTCCCTGCATTCTCACTCCAGTCAGCCAGTCCCTTTTCCCCCAGTTTCCCCATTCCTCCAAAACCCAAGGAATGTGTTAAGTCTCCCTGGCTTGCCCAGGCTGGTACGATGGCAGGGCACAGAGGACAGCTGGAGAGACGCCAGCCTTCCTGGTCCAAAGGGCAAAGCGGAGAGACTTACAATTCCTCCAGCCCTGCCTCCCTCCACCCTAGAGAAAACTGGTAGATTAACACTCAAAAAACCCCTCCTGTGACCTGGGCAGAGGCATGGCAGAGCCGGTCTGTGCTCAGCTCCTGGTACAGCTGCGATGGCTCCCAGCACAGACCAGCCTGGTGCTTTCCTCAGGCACAGGAGGAGCCTCCGCATTCACCCTTAAGCTCCAGGAGTCAAAGTCCACAGAAAAAGGGGAACATGCACCGCTACAACAGCACAAGACAGAGACGAGGAGGCAGCTCGGGTCGGCTCTGCCTTTTCCTGATGGGAAGGGTGCTGATTCTGCAGCCTCGCAGCTGCCGGGCAGCTTTGCCTCCCCTTTCCTTAATTCTTCTGTCTCCGAAGATGGGCAGAGGGCTCACAAACCACTGCTAAAAAATAAGCCTGGTTCCTTTGATGTGGCTGGTATGATAGGGATTTCTGGCTGTAAAAGATAAGCTTTCCCTGCAAGCTTTCGCAGAGCTCAAGACAGCACTGCCACATCACTGCCGTCCTTCCCTGCTGGAACATCACAAGGAGATGCTGGAGACCACCTTCTGCTGCAGGACTGCGCCCAAAACCTGCAAAGCCTCGTGGCCTGCATCTTCAGGAGAGAAACACTCACTTTTTGGTGAGCCGGGGATCCAGCGGAGGATGCTGTGCTCCATAGACGGGTTGAATGCTGCAGGAAGGGGAAAGGGAAAAAAAAGCCAAATAAGATAATGCAAAAAAGCCACAGGGCACCCAGGAATAATCTCCTCAGCACAGACTGAGGGCACACTTCTTGCCTGCT